CGCAGAAGTGCCCTCCCCCTGCCTTCAGGCCAGTTCTCTTTAGGTTGTTTCAAGTTTCTCAGTACAGTGTGAGACTTCCCACAGGGAAGCACTCTGAGCATATCTCCTGTGTCATGACTCACATGCGGCAGACACGGCTGAACTGAGCCTTGGAACTCCAAGAAGGGGATTCTGAAAAAGGAGGGCTCTTCAGGGCTTCTTGGGAGCCAGGTAGGGGAACCTAGACTTACTTACTAATGAGCCTATAACTCTAGCTAAAGTGGCTGAGAGAAGGGGCAGGGGTTTACAGGTGGGATGGGTGCTAAGGGGCCAGCAGTTGGGGGAGTGGGGAGCCTGAGAAAGGCAAGGATGTGGTTTGTTGGTGTGGCATTGAGCCTGAAATGGTCAAAATGTTCCAACTTGGAATCCCTGGTGCCTTGGACAGTTGTCCGCTTGAACATTGGTGTGACTGTGAAGGAGGAAGCAGAAAGCCTACTCTGAAGCGTGAAGGTGAGCATCAAAGACCTGACCCTTGGCTATGGTGGAAACATTAACCTGGAAGGGACTTGCATCTAGTTCCCATCCTAGGAAGGGAGAGTGTGAGTGGGGTCAATGAAAGTTCCCAACCTGACATCATAGGGAGAGTAGGGGGGCCTGGAGTTAGCAGGAAGGTTCCTGGCTGCTGTTAGCTTTGGTTCAAAAGGAGGTGGGCACAAGGTGCAAGAACCTTGAGGGCTGCGTACAGGACCATGTCACTGAAAGTGAAAGTGAGAGAGGCCAGTACTTTCCCAGAATTTCTTCCTAGAATTTCCTACACATACTGCCCTTCCCAGAACTGGCTCTGGTCAATCTTGAATTCTCATCTACCACAGGAAGCAGTAGAGAGCATTGCCTCCCTGTATGACAAAGGTTAAGTCCTTGGCCCCTCTTTGGGCCTCACTTTCTCCATCCTGCTAACAGGTTAGACTGGACTAGATAACCATCGTCATATTAATGGTAATGAGAGCTGGGGGGAGGGGGTTGTCACCTAATCACTAGGTCATCCCCTGGCCTTGTTTCTAAGTGCTGAAAGAGCTCCAGCTGAGGCTAGATGCCTGCCCTTCAGGAGTTAGCAAGTGGGACAGATGGACAGGATGGACAGGACAGGGTAAACAGCAATGCCTGGCAGTCCACTGAATGAAAAGCTCAGACCCAGCAGTGGGGGCAGGGGTGCTGTGGAGAGGGCTGCATGGATGGCTGGAACACAGGCAAGATGGGGGAATAGTCTTTCTTTCATTTATTCTCCACATCCTCCAGAGAAAGGGGTCAGTTGTCACAGAGCCAGACACACCAGCACCTGACATGTGCATCATGACCCTGAGACAGCACTGGACACCAGGTGGGGCTTGTGGCTGAAGGTGGATGGGTGGGGTCTGTGAGTAGAATGGAACAGTGTGCGTGGTGAACCCTGAGCCTTAGCCTCCAAGTGAACTCCAACCTGTGCTATTGCTTATAAGCGTCCCTCCAACTGTGGCTCTGGCTCCATTTAAAAAAGGGTTGGGGGGGGGGTGGAGGGGTCCTTCTATCCCTCTGGCACCCTGAACAGATGCCAAGAATCTTTGGGCTGGAGTTACATCCTTACCCAGACAGTAAAAACCTCTCCAGCCAAGACACAAGATGCTGAGCACTACCAGCCAGTTTGGACAGCTGCTGACCTCTGTGACTGTCTGTCCTCAGACCTCAGCCCTTTATGGGTCCTGCTCCTGTGCGTCCACGTCATCGCTGTCCTGGACAGTGCCACGCCTATACCTCAGAGCACCACAGATGCCACTGCCTCAGCAGCGATCACACAGGACCCCTACTCCTTTTGGCCCCCAACACTCCCCACAGCTAAGCGATGCCCAGCATTGGAGGTGACCTCACCAAAGGTGGAAGTACCACTGAGTAAGGAGCAATTACACCACTGGGAACCCTGGAGGGCACAGTGGTTGGAGGGCTTTGGGCAAGAGGGTTGAAAGGTGGGGTTGGCTTCCCAGGCCCCCACCGTCTGCCACGTAGCCCACCACCAACCAGGTGAGGTTGACTGAGCACTTGCCATTCTCCATCCTCCACTCAGCTTCATGGATGGGGGGTCGGGGCCCAGCATCCAAGATGCTCCCTATTTAATGGACTGGAGAGAACTCAAGACACAAGGAATGGTCATAAGACCTTGAGCCTTGCCTGCTGGCCACCTCAGAGGAACAAAAGCCTGTTAGCACTGCCACCTCAGTCTGGCCTCCTAGAGTCATAGAGGCTGGGCACTAGAGAAAGTCATCCTGAGGGGAAAAGTGTCATCATCACGTGAACCAAGGGCCCCTCTCCAAATTCCCTTTGCCTAGGCCTCTCAACTCATGCAACTGTACTTTTAACAGACTTTTCCTGCCTACGTGGTGCGCACTGACACTCCAGGTTCCTGACTGTGGGGAGGTGGGCAGGGCAGGGCACAGCAGAGGGGTGGCCCTGCTCTAAGGAAAGGCTGACAGTCACATGTGTCCCTAGATGGAATGTTGACCTTGTCCTGTACTGGCTGCAGCCGATTCTCACACTTCCCCATCCTCTACTGGTTGGGCAATGGTTCCTTCATCGAGGACCTCCCGGGCCGGCTGTATGAAGGCAGCATCAGGTAAGGGACACAGCAGTGAGGCTAGTAGGAGGTGACCTCCCGCGGTTCTCTCATGGCCTCTGTTTCCCCTCTGCTCCAGCCGGAAGCACAGGAGCACCAATACCTGGCTGCGGAAGACCTTGGTGGTGGAGGAGCTGAGCCCTGCCCTGCGCAGCACCAACTTCTCCTGTGTTCTCATAGATCCTGCACAGACTGCCCAGCGTCACATCATCCTGGCTCAGCTTTGGGTAAGGAGCCTAAGGGAAGGCTTCGGAGGGCCTGAGCTCTGCTTCAGTGTGGGTCACATGGCTAATGTGGGGAGGGAGAGATTGGATTCTGCTCAGAGCAGGCCTACTGATCACCATTTCCTAAGGCCCCAAGCTGAGGTGGAAACAAAAAGGAACTTAGGACTGGGGTAGGGGAGGCACAGCCTGGAGGAAAGTGCCAAAAGATGGCCCTCTATCCCTTGGCCCTGACCCTTACCTGCCTTCACTTTTCTAGGCTGGGCGGAAGACAACCTTGCCCCCCACTCAAGAAGCCCTGCCCTCCAGCTACCACCAAGGGCAACAGCTGCCCACATCAGCAGGACCAGGAATCAACATGCAACACCAGCAACAAGATAGCAACCTTGACCAGAGCCTGGGCCCCATCTACCTGAATGGTTCACATGATCATAACAGCACAGCAGCAGCACCACCACACCCCCGCCCTACTTTAGACTTGGGTTAGGAGTCCCCTCTTCTGAAGGTTCCTGCTCTGGTTCTCTCTTGCCCATCCCCTCTACTCTGAGCAAATTCAAACTCCCTTCTCATCCAAAATGCTTCCTTCTCCTCCTGCCTGCTATTCTCTTTTCATCCCCTTACTAATTTTCCTGATGTCCTACTCTCATCACACTGCTCTACTATTTAGAAACTTCCAAGACCTATCAGGAGGACCTTAGCCCAGTAATCAAGGACTCTCTGATTCATTTCCAACATAACCCTCCAACATGTTCCCAGACAACTCTCACGTCTTTGGTTATTTGATCCCCTGTGCCTTACCTTCTCAACAGTTATACTTCTAAGCCTACAGTTATACTTCTAAGCCTGTTTGAACCACCACCCCTTCAGTGACATCTTCCCTATCCCAGCTGTGGCCACATTCTGTATGGATTTAATGTTTTACTATCTTTCCCACTCTAATGGACTGCACCAAGGAAGAGGGAAGGGCAAAACTGCTTCTGATTCACAACTGTATCTTTAGGGACTCAAACACTCAGAAAAAATTACTCAATGGAGGCATCTTTGGCATCTGGTCATTTAGGCCTAAGTTCCACTTGCAGGACCTTGGCCTCTGCAAGAGGGAGTATGAGAAGAGAGGGACTGCCATTCAGAAGCCAAAGACAAAACCAGACTCAGGAGCATAACCCAATGCTGTTAATTGTGACTCATAGCAACCCCACAGGACAGAGCAGAACCACCTCATACGGTTTTCAAGGCTATAATCTTTATAGAAGCAGACTGCCACAGCTTTTTCCTGTGGAACAGCTGGTAGGCTTGAAATGCCAACCTTTTGGTTAGCAGCCAGCGGTTTTATAACCACCGTGCCACCAGGGCTCCCTCGGGGACTTAGGCCTTCAGGAAAGAGAAAAAACAAGCCTATAACGCTCTTCCGAAGCAGTGGCCAGAAATGGAGGGAGGGAACACCCTGGGGAAGATGGGGCCTGAGACCGATCTCAGAGGAAATGGTTCACTCAACAGGGGGGCAAAAGGTGTCTGCACCCTAGAGCCCAGATTTCCCCTTGTTTTCCAAGTAGCTCAAGGCAGCTCAGCACTTAAGGGCGAAAAATAGACTTTATTTACAAGTAATAACATTTAGAAAAGATCCATCCCTGGCCCTTAAAAACCTTCCCATCACTCCAAATCCCACGCCGGTGCAACTCTGGGGGAAGCTGGGAATGAGCTGCTCCTGAAGGCTGCCACTCCACCACCCCACCCCACCCCACCCCACCCCTCCCCACCCCATGGGCACAGGGTGTGGGAGACAGCACTGTCTCTTGGGGTTTGGCCACCACAGGCCTGGGAGCTGAGAAGGCACTGAGAGGGGCAGTAGAAGGAGAAGGACCAGGCAAGGTCAGCGTCGGGGACACAGGTGGGGCCACTCAATGGCACTGGCCCTTTAGTGCTTCGCCTGGAAGAGACAGAGATGGTCATGATTATAAGAAAACTTGTGATGCCGGTCTGCACCAGCTGGCTCACAGAGCCCTCATCTCGCTCCACCCACCCATAGGAGTAGGATACCATCCTGGAGGTGGCCCTGGACACTGTTTTCTCAGTAGGAATGGGGCCTGTGTCTCCCCTCTCAGTAATGAGCAGTTAACTAGGACGAAGAACATTTTTTAACCACCCCCCCCATGGCCTAGCTAGGCCCTGCCTTGGATGCTGTCCCACTGGGCAGTCTGGGGAGGGCCCTCTACCTTGCCCTTGGCTCGAGGGGTGGCCGCAGCAGCAGCACTGGCGGCACTGGCTGTGGTGGTGGCAATGCGAGGAGAGCGGCGGGTTCCACTGCGGGTGTTGGGGGACGTCTTGGGTGGGGCTTTCTTTGAGGCCCCCCTCCGCAGAAGACTATTCCCGAGCTTCTTGGGCGTGTTGAGGATGCTGAAGGCCATTGACTGGCGTCGGTCAGCCTAGGGGGAGGGGCTGTTGAACTAGGGAACCTAACACAGCCTTCCAGGTCAGCATGTTGACCCCTGGCTTTACCACCAAGGCCCCCGAGGGCCTGCCTTCATTACTAGACTAACCTGTTTAACAACAGCTGGAGCTGCTTTCTCCTGGGCCTTGGTAGTGCTCTGTTTGCGCCCTTCATGTCGGTCACGGGGAGTCATGGGGCGTGGGAAACAGCTGGTGGCCTTCTTAGACTATAGGGAAGAGGATAATTATAGGCAGACAGTCGTAAGAAGACTTTACATCCTAAACCATTTATTTTGGCCTCTCAGACCTGAGAGGAATTTATAAGTCATTGTGTCCAATTTGACCCCCACAACCCTGAGCCAGAGGCTTCCCTTCCACCAGTTTCCATCCCTGCATCAGATCCTCAGAGCGCGAAGCCTTCCCTCCACTCTACCTTTCAAGCATAGTGAGCTGGGCAGAGTGTTCGACAGAACGAAACACAAAGGAGCCGAGTCACCCACCTCAGGGGTGCCAGGGCCCTGGTGGGACTCTGAGGAGACCCGTTTGCGCTGCTGCCGTGTGGTGATACCAGTGCCCTCGGCCATCTGAGTTGGCTGCATGCTAGCTCGGCGCAGGGTCTCCTGAGGATCACCAGTTTTCATTTCCTCATCTGTGATGGTGGCCAGGCTCAGGGAAGGCTGTGGTGGAAGAAGAGGTCAGTGGACCCCAGCTGTATGATGTTAATGTCTTCACTGGGCTGACACTTGAAGCAGTTGGAGCCTTCCTATCTCAAAAGGCCGCCTCCCTTCCTTTCTCTACCACAACTGGGACAAACAGACATGAGAAGTACAGTCCCCAGCAGCCACCTCTCCAAGCTACTACTGCCCTCCCATAAAAGCTTCACTCCTGAGCTCCCCTCCTGCTGGCTAGTCATTCCACCTGGGCACATAAGGTCACGCCCGTCAGTGGTACAGAGACTCGGGACACCAGTACTTAAGCTAGTCAGCAGGTGGCACTGGAGGGGGATGCCAAGGGAGGAAGCAATGAGCCAACGTGGGCAGGTCCTGCTCAGATGACCTCAGGGCTCACCCTGGATTCTATGGGATAGCAGGTCTTCAGGTGCGGGGGGCATACTCGATTGCGCCGCTGCAGTTCAGCAATACGGTTCCAGTCGTCCAGCTGCTCTGGCTCATCTTGGCAAGTGCCCATGTAGAAACTGTTCCTTCCTATGGAGGGCAGGGAAGTTGGAACGAGTTGGGGCTCACCAGCCATTGCTGCTCCCACTCCCCCTTCTGCCTACCCTGTGGACATCGAGCTCAATACACCAGAGTCGCCCCCTGACTTGGTGCTGCAGGTACAGGAGTGGGGCATACACCCTTTCTACTGTGGGGGCTTGCTCACTGCTCCCTCTCTGGGGAGGTCAAAAGAAGTCATATGAAAAGGCTGTGGCTGCATCTTACTCACCTTCAAAAGCATGGTGCCTGGCACCAAGAAAAACTAATTGAGGGCCAGGAATTGATACCCAGAGGGATCCCTGGGGCTGAGAGAGCAAATGTCAAATAGTCTCTGAGGACAGAACTGGCCTGGTCCTTCCACCAGCCCATCACCCCCTGAGAAGGGACAGGAAGGACTCTCAACAGCAGCAAAGCTGTCACTGTCATTCTGGGAATACTAGACTATCTCTGTTGACATATCTGGTTCACCCTGGCTGAGATTAACATGAGCCCAGTTGCCCCAGCACCACCCCTAGAGGACAGGCAAAGCCGAGACAGCAGGGAGAAAGGAGGAGGAAGTGCTAGAAGGTACCAAGGTGGCCAACCTTGGATTTTAAAAAGTATCTTATCTCTTCCCTCTGCCAGTCTAACTTTTGGTTGTTCCCACAGTCCACTCACCTGAAGGGGCTCCTCCAGACACCCTGGCCTGGGAGTGGCGAGCAGAGCTGCGCGTGGTGGGCCGGTAGCCAGGCAAGCTGAGCAGAGCCGAGTTGCCCTCGCTAGCAGAGCTCAGGCAGGGTAGAGACTGAGTAGAGGAGGTGTTCCGCAGGCTGGCCTGGGGTGCGGGGGCAGACTGTGTGCTGTGGAAGGATGAGTTGGCGCTGTCTGGTTCTTCCACATCCAGCTTCTGGCAGAAAAGATACATCCGTTGTGGTGGGTGGGATGGGAACCTCTATAAAGAAGTCTCCCATTCCCCCACCGAAGCCCCTCATAGCCCACGCAATATCTGCATGTGTTCCCAACGCTGCTTAGCAAGGGGCCTTAGTTTGCACTTCATGGCAAAAAAAATGGGCCTTGTTGCCAGAATCCTTCATAAGATTATAGAGACCCTCCCATCCTTTTTCCCATTGAGTCTATTAAAACAATAATTTGAGGGAGGGAAGGCAGTGTTTATCAGCCCATTTTAAAGAAGAGGTGCAAAGAAAGCAAGCATCTGACCCAAGGTCAGAGAGCTAGGAAGTAGCAGAGCTGGAGCTAAAACCCCTGTCTCTTGAGCAATACTCAGGCTTGCCCCACAGCTTCCACGGTCCCACTGACATCTAGAGCTTCTCCAACTTCTGACTAGCAGAGGGCACCCACACACAGAGGTGTCCCTGCTGTACCAAAGCCACCTCTCTCCTCCCCAACCAGCTCCTGGGCTAGGGAAACGCGCTGAGTTCACAGCCTGGCAGGCATCGTCATACAGCTCAGCCCCACAGGGTGTGCTGGGAGGAATACGACGGACTGCAATTTGCCCCTTTCCTCCTTCAGCCTGCACAGGATCAGTGTTCCATGTGCTAGCCTCAGTGGAGGCAGGGATCTAATTTCAGCCCTGCCCCTTACTACAAAAATAAGCCCTAAACACACTTTCTCTCTTAGTATCTCAGCTTTCTCATTGGTAAAACAGACTGGTGATCCCTGCCTGCCTGCCTGCCTGCTTCATTCTCAGGCTGATAACCAGAAGTCTCTGCAGCCCCACTTCCAGCAGCCTTACCTTGGTCATGGTGATGTTGATTATCTGTGTGGTACGTCGACGAGCAGAGCGGGTCTTTCTGCCTGAGTCCAGGAAGACATCCCCCAGGGAGTCCAGGCTGCTCTCCAGGGGGGCCTGACTCCGAGTTGAGATGGGAGTGAAGTAGAGACTCTCCAGGGATTCTACCTTGGGGGGAAGGCGCTGGGAGATGGGTGAGGCTGGCTCTCCAGGGACACTGGTGCCATCTGGTTGGGTACGTGGCAGCTTGCTGTGGAAAGGAAACCTGCTGAGTGAGATTCCTGGGGCTAGGAGGCACTTTGTCCATTGCTTTGCTCCAAAGTAATCATTCCTACAAGCAGACAATGTCAAGCACCCATTCTTGCTCTTGAGTTTTCAGAAGCAACAAGGAGAACCCTTGTCCTGAGCCCTCCCTTCAATCCACTTTGTCCCTGTTGAGTTCATCCATCCCCAATGGCTGCCCTTAGGCTGGCTATCCCAGATCTCAGCCTGGGCAATTCCCAGAGTCTAAACTCCAGACCCATATATCTAATTGTCCTGAGATGTCTCCTGATACCCGTAGTACTTCACAATGAACATATTCCAGACTCAGCCCATTTGTCTGTTCCTCCTCCTGTATCCCCTATTTCAGTGCATGGGAGCACCCACAGCCCCGGCCCCCGAACCATTACCATGGGCACAATATCCCTACCCTACCTCTCTCCTACCAAACCCAGTAACTGAGTCTCCTAACAGCTCTCCTGACCACACCCCTGCTCTATTCTGTCCTCCCTGGTTCAGCCTTCTCTCACCTAGACTGTGAGAGAGGCAGCAGAGTGGTGACAAGCAAGGTCTCCTGGACAAGCAACCACCTCTCTAAGCCCCAGTTTCATCTGTTAAAGGATGACAGTAGAACCTATTTCAGAGAGTTGTTGAGAGATAAGTGCTTAAAGCAGCAATCTGACATGCCATATAAGTGTTTGCTTAATAAAACAATAAATGTGTTTCTAGTCTTACTCTTTACATGATCTATGAGAATAATCCTTCTATGATGCAAATCTGACCATTTACCCCTCAACTTCAACCCCTTCAGAGGTTCCTCAGTATCTTTAGGATCAAGTCTAAATGCCAGCCTCCTTCCACTGGGAGGACAGTGATCCCCTGGCACCGGGGCCTGCTGAGCCCCCCGCAGCTCTCAGCCTTTGCTTCCACTGCTCACCACCCACCTGGTGCGCACATCTACGTATTCTTTCAAGACACAGAACAGGAGTGACCACCTCCATGGAGTCTTTCACACTTGCTTCTTTTCTCTCTCCCTGAGCCCTGTACAGACGCTGGCATCACACCAGTGTCACACATCATACTTTCTTCTTCCTTATCTTTCTCCTCTAAGAATAAGCTTCCAGAGGGCAAAAGGACCACACCTCCCTTCTCTCAATAGCCCCAATATCCAGGATACAGCCTGATCACCAGGAGGCACTCTAAACAACAAGCTTAGGGAGGGAGGGTGCTTCTGACCTGGCTATAGAAAGTGGAGTCCCCTCCTCACAGCTCAAGTCCAGGCTGTCAATGCTCAAGTCCAGCTGGGACTTAGCCTGAGGCTCCCGGCTCTTTAAGGCATCAGTCGCCACTTGGAATTTGCCCAGGTCTCGAAGCTGCTGGTCAGCATGGGCAACCTGGGAAGAATGACAGAAAGCAGGAAGGCAAGAACGGAGGACACAGAGGTCCAACATGGAGGGTGAGAAGCATCTCTGCAGCCAGACGTTTACCTGCGCCTCCAGGCTGTGCACCTGAGCAGTAAGGTGGCGGCAGGTCTGTTCAGCCTCTTTGGTCTTCAGCCCGGCCTGCTGCAGCTCCCGGCCTAGCCGCTCAGCTTCAGCCCGAAGCTCCTTGTTTTCCCTCTGTAGCTGCTCCAGGCCCCGCAGCTGCTCCTGCAGCTCTTGGTTCTGCTGCTTCTTGGCATCATAATGGGTCTTGGCTTTCTCCATCTGTGTGGGCAGAGAGGGTGGGAGGGGGGGTGGTGGGGCAGAGGCAGGACTGGGGTGGGGTGGGGAGGTGGGCGGCCTGGCCCCAGCGTGAGGCTCCTCACCTGCAGCCTGTAGTGCTCAGCGGCCTGCTCCTTCTGGCTCACCTGGGCCTGCAGCTCACTGAGCTGGGCTTGGAGGCGCTGGGCCTCCTGCTGGCTCTCACCTCCTTGGGCCTGGGAGCATGGAACGCTTAGCAGGGCTGGTCAGGATGCTCCACCCAAACCCACTAACTTGGCCTAGCCCCTTGGGCTCCATGGCCAATCTCACACAACACTTACACACACTTTCCCCCCAACTCCATCCTACTGAAACACCACTCCCCCCACTTCAGGTCCACGTTCTATAGGAGCTTTCCCTGGCCAGCCTGTGCTATTGGCTCTCTCTCTGCCACAGTCCTAACAGACCTATCTTGGTCATCTTTGAGACAGGGTACAAATTGTCTCAAACTTTCTATGAGAACACAATCTCCCAAGGAAGAAAGGAAATGGATTCTCAGAGACACCTGACGTCAGCTCTCTGAGTATACAACTCAATTATCCTCAAAACCACTCTCAGAAGTAACTTTATCCTCATTTTAGAGATGAGGAAACTGAGCTCAGAGATTTAAAGCAAAATGACCAGGGTCATAGTGACTAAATGGCAGAGTAAGATTTGAATCTTGCTTTATCTAATGCCCAAGCCTGTGTGGGCTCATTCATTGTGCCAGTACCGCCTCCCACCCAGACCAGAGCCTTCTTCAGAACAGGGTCTGTGTCTCAGTCTCTGCCCACCTGCTCTGCCTTGCACAGTGCTGGGTCTGTTAGAAGTGCTGGGCAGGGTCATCCAGCCCTTGCCTCTCCTGTCTCCTAATACAGGGCAGGCCCCACAAAGAGCAGGAGAGACATCTGTTTACGAGTGACGCATGATGTGGTGTGTTACATACGGAAGGTGAGCGGGGAGATGAAGCTCTGAGCTCCCACCAACTCCTATGATCCACAGGGCTTTAGTGAGTGTCAAGATTGCTGATGTTCATTTTTTCTGTCCCTGACTAAAGGCTATGAGGGAGCTCTGGTGGCACAGTGCCTAAGGCATCTGACTGCTAACCAGAAGGCTGGTGGTTCAAACCCAGCCACTCCTCAGAAAAAAGACAGGGCAATCTACTTCTGTATAAATACCACCTCATAAACCCAAGGAAAGCTCGCTACGAGTCGAATCAACTCGATGGCAGTGAGTTTTTAAAGGCTCTTAAATCTAGAACTGTAAAAAAAAAAAAACAAATATGGAACAAGAGATGACATAGTAGAAAGCATTACAGCACTATTAAACTGTACTGTAATATTAAATATCATCACACACTCCCTGAGCCTAGACTATCTAGACCAGTGCCATCCAATGGAACTTTCTGGGATGATGGGACGTGTTCTGTGTCTATGCTGTCCAATATGGTAGCCAATAACCACTCACAGCTACTGAGCATGTGAAATGTGGCTGGTCTGACTGAGGAATTTAAAAATTTTATTTCATTTAAATTAAATTTCAACAGCACATGTGGCTAGTGGATACTCTACTGGACAGCAGAGGTCTAGAGGGATGGGAACGGCTCCAGCCTATCCTCAAGCATTCCCAGAAGGCACCACAGGGGCTTCTGAGCCACAGGCAGATCTCTGAAAGCTACCAGACACCCAGGGTGCCCACCCTCTGCCTCCCCACCCACCACAGCCGAAGGTCGTAGAGTGCCCCTTCCTTCCCCCACCCCGAGGCCGAGCAGAGGTCAGGCCTAGTTCCCACTGGCCCCACCTTCAGCTTCTGCTGCTGCACCTTGCTGGCTTGGTCATGGTCAGCTAGCTTCTTACTCAGTTCTTCCACCTGGGGAGGGGTAAGAGAAGACTCAAGAGGCTGTCCTCCGGATGTCTAGACAAAGTATGGTGTTTCCCCAGGCCAGGACCCTCAGAAGAAGAGGAAACTCATTCTTTCTCTGGCCTCCAAGTAGAAAGCAGACTCACTGCTGCCCAGGCTGGCTGCCATACCCTGAGGGAGGTGATCTAATACACAGGTTGATCCTGAGTCACCTGCCATACTCACCTCCACTCCAGCCTGCAGAGACAGAGGCCTGCCTGACCCCCCAGCCACTAGAATCAGCAGAATGGACTTGGGAGCTGACACATCACCACCACCCTGCTGTTGTTGCCACCACTGCTCCCCAGCCCAACCTTCCCAGGTTGGGGGAGAATCAGGGGACCTCGTCTGTAACTCTAGCAGAATATGCATGAACATCCATCCCTCTCATCCCTGAAATTGCCAAAGCTGAAGCCCACAGATGCTCAGACCTCTTCCCAATATCCATAGGCTGTTAGAGGCTGGTGGCAGCAGCGTGGCCGCTGTGGTTAGCATTGGAAAATAGACTGCTGGAAGATAAGAGCGGGGCAGCACACGTACTCAAAGCCCACCCCATTCCCACAAAGGAAGAGCAAAGGGAAGCAGGGAACAAGAGAGAACATTAAGACCACCCCAAGCACCCGTCTCCTTCAGGCATTCAAGGAGTTCAAGCATGATCAGGCAAAAGGGAAGAGGCAAGGGCTCCATTGCTAACTGTTTGCTGTTCTGTGATTGATTGTCCCCCATCATCTCAGACTCCTTAGAGGAGGTGACAGGAATGGAGGAAAGGTGAGGCCAATACCTTAACAAGTCTGAAGGGACTGGGTAGGAGCCTTGATGTCTAACAACCTCCTCTGTCTGGTGTGTAGACCTCTCCTGCTCCTCTCAACCTTGGCCTTCCTGCTCCCAGCTCTCTCTAGACCATACTCTTAGGAAGCAATCCTGCCCCAGAAGATGACGGGCAGGCACTGAACTCAGCCCTCCCTAACTCTGAGAGCTGCCTTACAGCTGCCTTTATGGCTTCAGTAAATCCACACACTCTGTGGGAGAGAAGGGGGTTATGTTAAACGAGGCCCACAAGTAATTCTACAATACCTCCTTAGCTTGGACCATGACTTGGAGGGTCGAAAACTCCAAGGATTGATTCTATCCTTAGTTGAGATATGAAGCCCATCCTACCCCTCCTTCCTGACAGGCAGATGAGAGAAAGTGCAGAAGGGTGAAGAGGCCGACCTGGGATGGGTGGGATGAGGGCCGAGACGGCCCAGCACACCGCACTCCTGGGCAGCCTGGGCCTGGATTCCACGGCTTGACCCTGCCCCCTTCACAAACAGTTCACAACAGGAGCTGGCGGAGGCAAGCTGAGCTGGGGCCATGCACCGAGACTGGTCACCGCTTAAGCAGCCAGCATTTAGCAAGGACCCCAGGCATTACCTGCTTAGTTTGCTCTCTCTGAGACAGCTCTAGCTGCTCCGCCTATGCATGGGGGAAGGGCAATGGAGAGACAATAGTGAGATGGGGCCAAAGAGGGCTGGCCTGGCTACCAAGCTGACCTCACTGAGCTGATACTTGCCCCCAAGCCACTAGACATCTAGTCATGGAAAAAAGACTAGTTAGGCTCATTTGAGTCCCTTGTGGTCTCTGGGGCCTCTAGTGCAGGTGCAGTTCCTCAACAGTGCACCCCTGCAGAGAGCTGACAGCCTCCACAGCGTAACTCCCCAGGGACAGAGCTTCACGGAAAGGGAAGATACTGCTATTTTTCTTGAAGACAACAGGTGCAAGAGACTCTTCTACTGTGCCACCTGGTGCACGAGGGAAGGCCTTTAACTAGCTTAAGGCATTGATGTGGGAGCTGCTCTCTCTCCTGGTCCCCGCTCTCTCAGCTCTTTGGGGGTTGTGGCTGGGCTGGGCACGTTACCTGGGCAGTGAGTTTCTGCCTCTCTTCCTGGAACCGCTGCCTCTCCTCTAGGACCTTGACCTTGGCACCCTCATACTTGGCAGCCATCACCTCCAGCTCCCGGGCAGTGTTCTGTGCCTCCTGCCGCACTTCAGCCAGACGGGTCTCTGCGTCAGCACGCACGGCTGCCAGCTCTTGGACATACTTCTCCCGAGCCTGATCCAGCTCTACTTCTAGAAACTGCCGGCCGAGGTTGGCCCGCTCCCCCAGACCCCGGTTCTCCTCTGCCAACAGGCCGTGGGCCTTTTTCAGCATGCTGAGCTGCTCGGCGTAGCTGGCCTTCTCTGCCCGCAGCTGCTGGGCGGCTCGCTCTTGCTCTGCCACTCTCTGTCGCAGGGGTGCCAGCTCCCCGAGCTCCCGCTGGGCCCTCACCAGCTCAGCCCGCAGCCCACCAGCCGCCTGCTTACTCTGCTCCAGCTCCTCGCGGTGGCGCTTCTCAGCGGCCGCCTGTTCGGCCTGCAGCTGCTGGCACAGGTGCTTGACGGGCAGCAGCTCGGTCACCAGGGCCTGTGTGCTGGTCTGCTCCAGCTGCAGGGCAGAAAGAGCCTGCTCCTTCTGGAAGAACTTCTCCTGCCACGCCTTCAATTCCTGGCCCAGCTCCTCCGCACGCTCTGCCTGCGAGGCCAGCTCCTGCCGCAGGTGTTCTGAAGCTACTCGCTGCTTCTCCGCCTCCTCCCGGAGGGTCTGTACCTCCTCCCGAAGAGCAGAGCTGCGCTCCGCCGCTCGGGCACTGCTGCTGGCGGTCTCTGCCTGGAGAAGACGCAGCCTCTCTTCCAGCTTCTGGCTCTTCTCTGACTCGGCTATCACCAGCCGCTTCAGCTCCTTGCTCTCACCCTCCTTCTCTAGGACCTGGCGGTTCAGGATGGACACCTCCTCCTCCAAGCTGCTGATGAGACTGTTTTTTCTCTCAGCCTCCTGCTGGCCCCGGGCCACCTGGGCCTTCCACTCATCCTCAGCCTTGCTGTGGTCTTGGGCCTTGGCACGGTAGGTGGCCAACTCCCTCTGGGCTGAGGCTAAGTCATCCTGACTGCGCCCCAACTCCTGGGCCTTCTCCTCTAACTGGCCCCTCAGTGTCTCCAGAGCACTGTCCCACTCCACATGGGAGGCCCGCTCAGCCTCCAGGCTGCGCTCCAGGCTGGAGGCCTTCTCCTGGTGCTGCCGGCACTGCTGCTCCAGGTTGCTCACCTCTGCCCGCAGAGCCTCCAGCTCTGCCCCTGACGGTTCTGTCTTTCCAGCAGTCCCAGCATCTCCACTGGCCGCTCCTACAGACTCTGGGTGCTCCTTTTCCTTCTTAGTGACCTGTTCCTTCAGTTCCTCCAAGGTTTGCTGAAGCTCCTCCACTTCTCTTTTCTGGGCTGCCTCCTGACTACGAAGCTTGGTCAGCTCCTGATCCCTCTCTTCCTTCTCTCTCAGGGCATGGGCCAGCGCCTCTTGCAGGGCAGCAAACTCCACCCGCTGCTCATTGAGGGCGTTCTGGAGCCGCATCTCCAGCTCTGCCTTGGCTGCCTTCTCCAGGGCAAGATCAGCTTGGGCCCGGCCCCGCTCCTGGGTCAGCCGTGCCACCTCCCTCTCCTGCTGCCCACGCTCCTCCTGCTGCTGGCCCTGGCTCTCCATCAGCGCAGCGCGAAGCCTCTCCAGCTCACCGCCCATCCGCTCTGCCTCACGCTCCATGGCTTGCAGCGTGGCCTGTGTGCTGCAGAACTGGGATCCCTGCTGCTCCCCCAGCCACTCTGCCTCTCTGTCTCCTGCCCTCGGGTGCTCCTTGAGTAGCTCACGGGAGCCTGTTTCCTGCTGCTCTCCTGCTTTGCGCACCAAGGCCTCCAGGCGGGCCACTTCCTTGCTGGTGGCAGCCATCTTCTCCTGCAGAGTGGAGAGGTCATCGGCAAGCTTCTGGGCCCTGACCTCCTTCTCCTGGACCTGCTGGAGGGCTCTGGCCAGGTTGGCACGGAGCTGAGTGAGCTCATTCTGCTGCCGGCTTATCTGGAGCTCGCTGTGGGCCTCTATCCCTGCCACCTTCTCCTTTGCCTCCTGCAGCTCCTGACGGGCCTTCTCACATTCCTCCTGTAGGGCCACCAGCTGTTCCTGGAACATGGCGTCATACCGTGCCTCCTCTTGCTGGCTATCCTCATACCGTTCACGCCAGGTAGCTACCTCCTTGGCGAGCTGCTCATAATCACTCTCACCTCTGCGCTGGGAGGCTATGGCCTCTGCCAGCTCCCGCCGCAGGGCTTCCATCTCAGCCTGATGAGCCTCCCCAAGCTGCTGTAATCGGGTCTCCAGCTCCCGGCGCCCAGCCTTCTCTTCTTCAAGCTCCTTTAGCTCTTGTTTACGCTGCTCTGCCAGGCTCCGGGTCTCTGCCTCAAGCTCAGAGACACAGCGCTGTTGCTCCTCCCGGGCATCTGCAGCCCGGCGCTTCTCTTCCTCAAGGCTGCCCTTGGTGGCCTTCAAGGACTCTTCAAGGGCCTGGAGCTGCTCTTGGAGTTGGTCATTCTCCTGGGCCATCGCTTCTCTCTCGGATGCTTTTTGCCGCTCAGCCCTCAACTGGGCCTCCAGCTCTGTCACCTGGGCCTGGGCCTCACGTTGCTCCCGGTGGGCTGCCTCAACACGGGCATGGAGTTCCTCAACCTTCTGGATCACTTCTGCCTTTTCCCGTTGGGCCTGTGTCACTAAGGTCTGGGCGCTGTCCTGGGCTTCCTTAGCAGCCTGAAGTTGCTGCTGCAGAATCTCCAGCTTGGCAGCCTTCTCCTTCTCCAGTGCCTCCAGCTGCTGGAAGGCTGTGTCCCTCTCTCTCAGGCAGGCCTCTCGCTCCTTGGCAGCAGCAGCCAGTTGTTGGGCATGTTCCTGCCTAGTTGTCTTTTGCTCCTTGGCTGCCTCCTCCAACTGCTGCTCCTTCTGCTTCAGGCTGCTACTCAACTGCTCCACCTGGTGACGGAGGCCCTGGGAGGCCTGTTCTTGCTGTTGGAGGCTCTGGGCAAGCTGAGCCTGCTCCTTTTCCTTCTGCTGCTTCAAGCCAGTCAGTTCTTGATCCTGTTGCTGGAGGGTGGCATTAAGTGTGGTCAGCTCAGAGGTCAAACTGGCCACCTGGGCGGTCAGCTGGGCATTCTGAGCTTGTGAGGCCTTCTCCAGGTCCTCCTTGGCCTGGCTGAGGTTGGAGACAGAGCTCTGCAGACCAGCAATCAGGCCGGCCAGCTGCTGCTTTTCTTCCTCAAAGTGGCCCCGCTCGGTAAGCAGCTCGGCTTCCTGCCTGCCCCGCTCAGTCTCCAGCTCCTTCACCTTGGCTTGGAGCTGCGCATAGTTTGCAGCAAGAGTGGCTGCCTCTTGCTTCAGCGATTCCAGCTGGTGGGATAAAAGAGACAAATGAGATGAACACGGCTCCTCAGTCACCAGGAATAGGAATCTGAACGTGCTGAACATGCTCCCACTCAACTACAGCACGTGGGTCCTGCTGGCTGCTCCCACATATTCCTACCTGCAAGGCGTCACCCAGCACCTCACCCTTCTCCTGGGGTGGGTTCTCCTGCAGCTGGGTTGAGTGTTCTTCCAGCTGTGAAAGTTTCCCCAGGAGGATTTCATTCTTCTCTTCAAAGTATTTCTGGGGGTAAACAAAAGACCCATGTGAACAAAGAAGTGGACTAGTCACCAGATGACCACACATGCCCTCGTGGACATCAGCAGGTGACCCTATCATCTTGTGACCAAGACCTTGCCTTGGTCTAGAAAAGACTCAGAAACCACAGACCCAGAATACTGAGGGACTTGACTTTCTAACCCTAGTTCCTAGGCTGAATTAAGTTATAATGTGAACTGCTTATTCCTCTGAGGCTACAAAGTTTACTTCAAATTTCCTTACCGTGTAGCCCTCCTCAGACAAGTCTTGGCCCCCGGATTATCCCAGATACAACCAAAAATATTCCCTGATGATCTGGGCATCAATGTCAATAGCAGCAGCAACAGCATCACCCCAGCCCCACACCCTCTTCCCCACCACTGTTCACTAAGCACCTATTAGAGGCCAGGCACTGTGCTGGGTGTACCTATTGATTTCTAATCCATATAACATATCAGAGAGGTAGCTATTACTATCCCACTTTAACAGAGCAAGACATTAAAGCTCAGATGTTAGGTGCCTTGCCCAAGGGCTACATTGTTAATTAGCAGTAGAGTTGGGTTCTTAATAACAACAATAATAACAGCAGCTAATTCATTGAGCGCTTACTTTACACCACACGATATGTTAAGTTGCTTTTATATGTATTATCTCACAAATGATGAAGCAGCTACCCTTCAAACCTGGAACTGAACCCATTCCTGGAGATCACCTTTCAGTCAAACAACAGACAAGCCTATAAAGTGAACAATAATACCCGTGAGGAACATGAGCCTCAGAAACAGTCAAGACCAAAAGGGCAGCATTTGCCCCAAACAAAGTTCAGAAGGCGGGAGGGGCAAGAAAGATGGGTGAAGGGAAAGGAGGAACCCAAGGAGGAAGTGGGAAGAATGCTGTCACATCGAAGGGATAGCAACTAACGTCACAAAACAAAATGTGTAAAAACTGTTGAATAGGAAACAATTTGCTCTGAAAACTTCCATCCAAATCACAATAAAATGTTGAAAAAAAAAATTAATGATAAGCTACTCTTATTACTACGCCCATTTTAGGGAAAGGATGCCTGGAGAGAGTGAATAACTTGCCCAAGATCCACACCTTTTAAACAGCAAGACAGGATTCAAACTTAGGTCTACTGAACTTAAGCCCACAAGTGTTCCATTACAGCACAGCACTAATCCTTGAAATGAAGTTAGTTTAATTTCCAAAGACCCACAGGGACAGACTGGTAAATGGAACTCTGCTCTGAACACGTGGTCAGGACTGCGGCCCCAGCTCCCAGAGGCAGAGCATCACCTTGTCTTGCAGGGCTGTGCTGAGCTCCTTCTCGAGACGTGCCTGCTTCTCCACCCACTCCCGGGTGGCCTTGCCATGCTCCTCTGTCAGCTCGTTGAGGGCGCCCTGTAGTTGCTGCAAGTGACTGGCAAACTCCCGTAGCTGAGCAGACAGGGGGAATCCCAATCACCCAGAAATACAAATCAGAATTTAGGGACATGATCCAGTATCCCTGGATACTTAACATACCCAATTATGGGATGATGAAAGGGAATGGTTTCTCCAGAGAACCCCTCTCAACTCTCTCTTGGGGAGCCTTGCAGACCACCTCAGTCCTGAGGGGCCTCTGTGGGTAGACTAGCCCCAGCCCCACTCACCTTAAAGGAAAGGTCCCCATTCTCCTCAGAAAGCTGGTTGATCTTACGATCCATCTGGCTCTTCTCTGTCTTCAGGTCCTGGCATTGCTTCAGAGTCTCATGCAGCCGCATAGTAAGGCTATGGGTGGGGGGGAAGGAATGAGAAGACAGTGTGGCCCACCACCGGGTGCAGGCAGGGCTGGGAGCTAAAGGCAGGCAGGGAGGGCTATACCTCTCATTTTTGCCACGTAGCTCCTCAAGTTCCCTGGGTTCTGGTGGGCTGGCTGCCTGCTTCTCGTTGAGCAGAGCCAGGCGGTCGATGCGTTGCTGCATCAGAGCGATCTGTGCATCTGCCCCAGGGTGGAGGAGAGAAGAAGAGAGTAAGCACAAAGCTAAGGGGAGGAAGCGGAGAGCAGGAGGAATAGGATAGCCAACCTAAGGGGTAGACAGGACAGTAGCAAGGACAGAACACAGCTTCTAGGAAGTCCATCTGACCTTAGGCACAGGGCTGAGCTTCAGGGCCAGCAGAGGGGATAACATGGGAAGCTAAAGGAACATTTCCTAGGCAAGTCCAGCATTTTTCTGGATGAAAGTCCCAAATGCTGCCCATTCACACCTATCTGCCGATGTGCCAGGCACCTACCCTTCTCAGTGAGGAGCTTGCGGTTCTCGGCCAACTCCAGCTCCAGCTCATCCCTATTGCTTCTCTCATCTGCAAGCTGCTTCTTTAGCCGTCTCACCTGGAATTGTGGGGTATGCAGGATGTCGCCCATGGGGGAGGCTGGAGATCCTACAAGGAAGCTGAGGAAGGAGATGGCCCAGAAGTCATGGTCAGAGCTTGAGATCTGAGGGCTGAAGCAACCAGCAATACCCAGGACAGGTGGGGGAGAGGGGTCTCTGGCCGGATCACTGGCTGGACTCTCCAGTGCTGCCTCACACCTCATGACATGACCTTGCGGGAACTTTTCTTTTCCCTTCTCTAAGTCTTAATTTCTTTGTCAAAAAAAAAAAAAAAGTGATGAATTCTTGCCTCTGCAGAGCTGCACTGAGACATGGGACTTCAGCATCATCTCCAAGGAAGAAAGGTATTCCATAAACAGGAATTGCCTTTGCAGGTGGCCTGCCCCAAAGAGATCCCAGCCCATTCCCCCAAGCAGTAATAGCAGAAATGCAAAATCTAACCATTCCCAAAGCATTCCTAGCTGATAGAGAGGCCAGGCAGCAGCTTAGCCTCTAACCCACAGGGATTCGAGGACTGGATGGCTAAGGCCCTGTCCCAAAAGGGCCAGGACGTACTTGTTCCCACTGGAAGAGGAAGCAACATTCTGGAGCTCTAGGAAGCGAATCTCCTTCTTGGTCTGGTGGCTGGGTGGGGAGAGCTCTTCAGAGGTGGTGCTGGAACAGGTGGAAGGGACAGGAGCTGGGGGCGTGGAGGGAGAAACAGACAGACAAACCACAGAGCAGCTTCTAAGAGGGTGAACAGATTTGCATCCTTGTGCAATTTGAGAACACACCTTAGTGGGAGGTGGGAGCGAACCCACCAACATTTATGAGAGTGGCCACAGGGCAGAACCTAAAGCTTGGCGTCTGGTATCCAGGGGTCAGTATCCCTAAGCAAAATCAAGTCATGCATGAGCTTCTGTCTCCACAAATGATCAGTGTGAATACTGTGGAGCCAGGGTCTCCCCCATGCTCAGAACTGGACCAGGTGCTCATGCTTTTCCCTCAAATCAACTGACACAGGCAACCTGGGAGCTCTGGGCCAGGACCATGTCTTAACCCCCACTACCCCTTGCATTACCCCAGCCTCCTTTCTGAGCATCTCACAGCATGGCATCTCACATGGTCGATGTACCTTTTCTCAAAGCCATCTCTTCCCTTGACCACTTTCAGCTCTCTCCTACCTCTCTGGCCACCCATTCTCAGTCTCCCTCATTTGCTCCTCCTGTCTTCACCCACCCTTGAAATGTTGGTGCCTCCCTAGAGTTCTGATAGGGTCCCCTTTTCTCTGCCCACATTCTCCATGGCATCAGTGGCCATCTACACTTTCAAACCTCTCTTCTAGCCCAGACCCTCACCTGTACTCCAACAACTCCACCTGCTGGTCTCACAAGGAAGCTGAATTTGAGGAACATCAACTTCAGTAGCTACAAAAGAACCCACCCATACCTATTTTTTACATTTTCATCATCACTAGATGGTGTCTCCATTAGATGACTGGCAGACCTATCACTCCTTCTAGTGTACCTCCAGCCAGGGCACCTGAGACACTCAGCACCTAGCATTTAGATTCTCTATCACACTTACTAGTTCATGTCTCTGCCTTCTCACCTAGAACACAAAAGCTTCATGAGGGGAGGAAATCACTTTTATAGACTGTGCACTCCCAGTTTCTAAGCTTAGGGTAGTGTTTGTTTCAAAACTGAGAAATTAAAAGATGGGGGAGTCAAGGACAACCTAACACCAGACATGACTGGTGATCAACAACCTGTTAACTGCTGCCAGGCAGCCAAGAGGAGCTCCTTAGGACCTGGGAGGGCTCAAATCAGAAATCTACTGACCCCACCACGCACACTTTTCCTGAGCACCAACTCTGTGCCTTGTGTTGGAATTAGAAACAACCTCCTCACTGCACATCTCAGCACCTTAGGATCCTAGCAGTTCCCAGATCAGAGATGAGGGGGTCCTCAGGACTGTGCCCCTGCTCACCTTTTTGCAAGAAGCTCTCTAGGTCCTCATTAAGGTTTAGCCCATCCTCATGATCCAGCACAAATTTGAGAATGACAGCTAACTCAGCCTGAGCCAGAGAGAGAAGAAAAGAGCACCGGTTAGGGTTATACAGGCCCCTGAAAGGATGGACAGCTCTAGCCCGGCATTTCTATTCCCAACTTTTCTTAAGCCCTGGGAGCCTGTGAGATCCCAGTTCTCCTCTCAGATCCTGAACCTGTAGCCCAGCCAAGAACATTTGATTAGAGACATTTCATCCCACCTGCTTCTTCCCCTTTGCACACTGAGAGTCCCTGACTGACTTCACTCCTCACTACAAGGGAAGTGAACAGGCAAATAGAGAAGTATAGTAGAAGCCTCTGATACATGACCACGTTGGCCTCTTGCAGATCACCCTGATTGTTCTTCATCCAAGTGAGAACACTTCTGGAGCTCATCCAAAGCTTACCCACCAGCTCAGCTGTAAAATCTTCTCTTCTCTGTCTAAATTTCAAAGCTGCAGAGTTGACTTCCTCTTCCTGGCCAACTCTGCTGTTGTTCTTTATTCTTTCAGAATTTCTGTCTCTACCAAGTCTATGACCAATTTGGAGCAAAGATTGAAAAAAGGAAAGAACTAACTATCCTGCTCATGCCACTAAATTCCAACTACAATCTCAGCGAGGAACCTGGAATGAGTGTGGAATGGGACAGCACACAGGAATGAGTCAACATTTCCACCAATATATGACAGACCACAGCTCTCTGAACACTGCCCCGATTAACCCTGAGGTTACCCGCTCTGGACCCCACCTGTTTCTGCTCTGAAAAATAAAGGACAGCTGCTGACACAGGAAGCAAAGACAACATCATGACCCGCACGGCAGGTGGTTCCTGGAAACCACGTCTATTCCCTCTACAATGAAGCTGGTGTACCAATTCCTCATCATTTAGGGACTAAAATGAGGAGAGGTTGGGAGGCAGCTACTCTAAGCTAGACTATCAAAGGTGACAAAGACATGCTCTCTCACTAATCCTTTCTACTAGAAGAAAGGATGACATAAATGGAGTTGTTGTTGTTGTTACATGCTGTCGAGTCGGACCTGACTCATAGCGACCCCTTCTTGGGTTTCCGAGGCAGTATCACTGCGGAAGTAGATTGCCCAACCTTCCTTCCAAGGAGTGGCTGGTGGGTTTGAACTGCCAGCCTTCTGGTTAGCAGTCAAGTGCCTTAGGCATTACGCTACCAGAGCTCCTAAATGGAGTAGTAGTTTTGTGGAAAACATATACACACATACACATGTAAGTGGGCATATAGATGAGAGAATAAGAACAATTTCTATATACACACAAGGGTATATAGTTAAATACATGCTGTATTAAAAGGACTTGTACTTATAGCCTTTAAAAAATTAACATATCCCTGGGAATGAGATACTGGCAACTGTTATTTCCTTCTTTGTGCTTTTAAATGTTTTCTGGATTTTCTACGATGAACAGCTGTAATCACTATAATCATAACTTAAACACACCCACACACACATACACACACACTGTTTAAAGGAAAAAAATATGGGGTGAGGTAAAACACAGGCTAGGCCTGCTACATAAGGTAGAGGTACAGGGCTTACCTGAATCTTGTATTCGAATTGGTCCCAGTCCCTGAGGCTTTTGGAGCTCATAGTGAAGTGGTATAAGAGCAACATGGTTATCTAAAAGCCAAGCAAGAGGCAGTCACTAGGCAAGTCTGCTCAGAGCTCCCCATCTGAGTTGTTCTGGGGACTATGAGCTGTATTACAGAGACTCTTCTAAAGCTCCGAGAAGAAGGTAGCCCCAGGCCACTGCCCTTCACTACAGCAGGAACGCTTTATTAGAGAACCCAATGCCCACCATATACAAAGCCATGTGCTAGGTTCCTGCATGGCTTAATTCCTGCAATCATGGAACCCTGGGTATAAAGCTCAAGGCATCCTCTATAGGCTAGCACTTAGAAAGAGCAGAAGGAATGAAGTATATTGAACATTTGAGAAAAAATGAGAAAAGATATCCCCAGTATATGGCATGATTCCTACCAGGTCACCATCAGGACCTGCATTAATGCTCTAGTAATAAACCTCTTTGTCTTAAGGCCATGGACTCTGAGAATTCTTAGACTAAATGAGCTTTTGCCTCAGACAGGTGTCTGTCTGGTCCTACCTCCAAGAATCTCAGAAATCAACCACCCATAATATAATCTCCCTTTGGGTTAAGGGAAGGCCCTGCAGGTCTCCTGGGTACCACCCTTCCCACTCCACCAATCTAGTACTCCATAGGTACCTTGGACACTTCCAGTTCTGACCCCTCCATCAATTTCTGCACAGATACCAAGCATTCTGGAGAAGAGGGATGTTTTCGATTTTCTGCAATGACAACAATGTAGAAAAGAGGGTGAGCATCCCCAAGACAAGCATAGGGAAGTCTGAGAGTTTGAGGACCAGAATTGCAGCCTCTTGTAGGGTGATGAAATGAAAGTCTACACAACCCTATGTTCTGCTCCCCCCAACATAGCCTTTTCCAGGGCCTGTCCAACGGTTGGGAGGAAGAAAAAAGGCTAAGAATTCACAGCAACACTGGGTCACAGCATTGCACTCACACACCAACTTCTTAGCACCACAAAGAAGGAGGCTAAAATTCCAGACCACCCTAGGTCCTGTTCCAATTAAGGTCTGCAGCTGAATCAGACCAGGAAGCCTGGGACATACTTGACTCTTATGTTGCCTCAAGGTCTGGGCCCAATTACTAACACCTTACTTTATCTGGAAGAATTCTGGTGGCACCATGGTCAAGGCATTTGGCTGCCAACCAAAAGGTCAATGGCTCGAACCCACTAGCCATGGGAGAAGAGATGAGACAGTTTGCGTCTGTAAAGACTTACAGCCTTGGAAGCCCTATGGGGCAGTTCTACCCTATCCTGTAGGGTCACTATGTGTTGGAATCGACTCAATGGCAGTTGGTTTTTACTTTATTTAAATATATTATGACCTTTCCTAGAAATCTCTTGAGGTGGTAATGGCAGATAGCTTAGTTATGTTAAAAATGGGGATTCTATGATTTAAGGCTATATGAAGGGAAGGAAACTTCCAGCACTGTGCCAAAAGCTTTGGATGTGTTTTTATTTAATCTACCCAACAAACTGAAGAGCAATTATTATTATCTCAATCTCATGGACAGGGACTCTATGCCCATCAAGGTCACACAATAGAGAGAAGGGCCAAAATCCGAACCTAAATCTATCTTTGCCCCTACACCTATCGCCCAAGCAATTAATTTAAAGTTCTCTTGGAAGCTGCTTTTTCTTATAAGTGAAAAAGGGCAATACAGATCTTTCCCTCTCCCCTGCCTCCTTCCTCCTTCTGGGGAGACTGGGAATCTAAGGTGAGGAGTTTCAAAACTGACTCTGTGGCTTTACCTGGATCTCTGCAATGGACTCTGGGTCTGAAGGGACCACCCTTCTTCTGCCTGGCTGGTGTAGAAATTACCTGCCCCAGGAACACTACAGAGTTATATTTATCTCTGTGCTGAAGAACAGGGAGCCTTTGACCTTTTTTCCTCCCAACACCTGTGAACTGATTCCTCTTGGATTCCAAGTCCCAAGAACTGAGGAAGCAGCCCCTCTCCAGCTACATAAGAAAAGTGCTTACTCTGCAGAAAACTGCACACAAAGTCCAATCTGTCTGATACCGGCTGCTTCATGATTTGCTGTCCCTCTTCCGTGCCACGGCTAGAAAAAGAGCAAGTGTTAACACAAGAGTACTCAGCAATCCTTCCCTCCTTGCTACTGCATTAAATATTACCTCCCCATTCCTTAAGGAGGCTCTCTGGTGGCAAAGTGTTTAAAGCATTAGGCTGCAAACTGAAAGATCGGCAGTTCAAACCCACCAGCCGCTCCGCAGGAGAAAGATGAGGCAGTCTGCTTCTATAAAGATTTACATTCTTAGAAACTCTGTGGAGCAGCTCTACTGTGTTCTGTAGGGTCGCTATGAGTCATAATCAACTCAATGGCAGTAGATTTGGTTTGGGTTTCCTTCAGGGCTTGGTCTAAGCTGGGCCTGGAAAGAGAACCAGACTAGAGCCCGGAAGCAGGCAAAAATATGCCAAGATACCGTTTATTCAGATGGAACAGTGTGGTGGGTGAGAAGTGGAGACTTGAGGTATGAGATCCTTCTGGAAAAGACCACACACTTTGCTATCTGATTTGTGAATATGAAAAAGCTCTGTGGGAAAGGGGGTGAGAGGAGATGGAGGCAGCACCAATGAATGAGGAAGCTAGGTTAAATAGTCTGGAATGGCTCAATTGTAAAAAGGTCAGGAAGTCTGGAAAAACAGAGCTAGAGTAGAAGTGAGAAAGGCCTCTGGGAAGAGAAAAACACGTCCAAGAACTGAAAGAATGGGAGGGAACAAGACTCTGAAGTAAAAGGGCAAAGTTCAACACACACTAGGGGAAAGACTGAGGTAGCTAAAGTCTCCTGGGGGCCAGGCCAATGGACAATCATTCTTGGTCAGTAGCTGCTGTGTGTGTTTAACTAGAAGGGCCAGCAAAGTGCAAAGAGAGTAACAAAGGGAGACTCAGCAGGGGGAGCTCTCACACAACCCAAGGACCTGGCCCCTGGATGCTTGCTCTAATTGTAGGTTCCTTTTCAGAAGTATCTTCACTTCAAGTAGAAAGCCACCATGATTTGCTGACTTTCTGTTTAGGCTATGGCTGGAGATACTGATTAAAGGGTCTCATGATCCTCAGAATCTGAATCTTCAGGTTTCAGCCAACTTTCTAGAGGACAAGGGAAGCCTTAGAATTTAGAATGTTCCAGGACCAGAGACAACCTGTAGAGCGTCCAAACTAAGGTACTTCCCCCATCTCCCAAATGACTAGCAAAGCTTCTTCCAAGCTGAACTCCCCACGACTGGCATTCTGGGTAGCTGATCTTCAGAGTCTTGAGAAGATGCTAATCTCACAGACTCCCAAACGAACTATCTTCCTTGCCCACCCACAATATGGAGTACTGGGACTCCTTCCCCCCAGTGTACAGCAGTTATGTATATAAGTGTATTCCATTAAATAAAAATATAGAGAGTTCTCAGCATTTCTAATGAAGAGAATATAATTATTTCCTAAACCTATTTGACCATAAAACCTTTTTCCCACTAAGCCTCTGGTATAAGTTCTTTTTTTTTAAAATTGTGATTTGGGTGAACGTTTACAGAGCAAATTCACTTTCCATACAGTAGGTCACATACACTTTGTCTTATGACATTGGTATAAGTTTGTGAGAAAGGCTGGTCCTGAAGAAACCCAGTCCATCCTTCAAGACTGCTCAAGTCTCATCTCTGTCAGGAAGTCATCCAGAACTAATGTTAGTCATAACTCCATCCTCCTTCTCAGGAATTTCTACAGCACTCATGGATACAACTGCATCATTTACAACTCACCACTCTTAGCAGAAAGCTTAGCAGAAAGCTAGGGATACAGCCGGTGCTCAATATGTGTGGGCTAACAGTGAAAGCAGCTTTCTACTGGGAATAGCACTGGTCAATGTCAGCAAAGCGAATGCCAAACTTCAGGTTTTCTGGCTAAATGCCTCCACTGAATTCTGCTACTTAAACCTCATTCAACGAAATAGCACAGCCTTTTTGCTTTAGTCTATTCACACAAGGAAAAACTGAAAGGTAAACTTGTCTGAGGGGTTGACACCAATGGATTTTCCCACAGAGAAGGCCAATGGCTAAGGAATGAGCCCTATTCAACTCCCACAGCTTCTATCTGCCCACCCAACTGTCTTCAGCTGAGAACTAAGTCTGCTTTAGGTCAGCATGAGTAATGGTGTAAGACATGCAGTAGCCAGAACACATTAACTAAGAACCTCTCTTTTCCATTCCCAAAGGAAGTTGGTCTGCATTGTCCTGGATCTGAAATGGAGATTAAGGTTAATTTGTTATTTCAATAGCCATAGCGGCAAACTGATACACACTCCCTCCTAATCTAAGGCTCAGGCAGCACACTAAAACACAACTTGGAAAACGAACAGCTTGAATTTCTGACCCTCTGTATGAAAATTTCCCATCAGATTATAAACCTATTGTGGCTAAACCAAGGACATATGCCCTTGGTCATATTGATAGCTCTTATCATTGGGCAAGGGAAACTTATCCCCTCAAAAGCAAAAGCTCTTTGATCTCTAAGTCCATAAAGCAGACTGCACCCTACCATGTAACAACATGGGATAGATCTCATATCTGGTTACCTCTCTTTCCATAATGTTAAAAATAAACAGTGAGTTAGTAGGTATTTTCAGCCTAATCCAGCCTTTCATTTAATCAACCTTTCATTTAATGGTTTTTACCAGCCATGGATGTTAGTTGCTCAAACTGACTGACCATTTCATTAGAGTTTGAAAAATGATCATTGTCATTAGGAATTGACAAAATGTTGATTTACAGATAGCACACAAACCCATCTATGAAGTATGCTTAGGGGGCGGGGAATGAACCTTAAGCTAATCAAACTTAGATGTAATTACTGGTTTACAGGCAATAAGGGGAAAAGAGAACAAGGTAAGTAGCACCATGATGATGTAACTAACATCCAGAATTTAGGAGAAAAAAAAATAGGGAGTGGGGAGGGATAACTATTCGTGACTTAAGAGACTTACCAACAAAATGCAATGTGTGGATGCTGCTTGGATCCTGACTTGAATAAATTAATTATAAAGACATATTTATAGACAAACGGGAAAAAATGAACATGGACTGATATTAAGGAATTATTGTTCATTGTTAGGTGTGATTTTTGGTATTATAGTTTTGTTATTTAAAAAAAATGAATACAAATCTGTTAAGAAACATACTGAAATATGAAGAATAAAATATGATGTCTGGTATTTGTTTTGAAGTAACACAGAAAGTAAAATGTGAGACAGATGAATTGTTGTTAGGTGCTGCTGAATCAGTTTCCACCGATAGCAACCTCATGTAAAAGAGAAAAAACACTGCCTAGTCGTGCACCATCCTCACAATCGTTGCTATGTTTCAGCCCATTGTTGCAGCCACTGTGTCAACCCATCTCATTGTGGGTCTTCCTCATTTTTGCTGACCTTCTGCAAAGTTAAAACGTCCTTCTCCAGGGACTAGTCCCTCCTAATAACATATCCAAAGTATGTGATGCAAAAATGTTGATAATTATTGAAGGCAGGTGGTGGGTGTATTTGGGGGTCTCAATATACTCTGTTCTATTTTTGTGTATATTTAAACTTTTTCATAGTAAATTGTTTTTTAATAGTATATTGTAAAACTAATATATTTAACTTGATTCCATTTTTATTTTAAAAAACAAAAGCATATATGTATAAGGATATATCTATGATAAACAGAAGAAAACTCTGAAGGGATATGAGTAATTTTTACTTAAAAAAATATATAAAGACAGCAAAAGTCAGAAGGCCTGGAAGTATACATGAGTATGCTGGGCAGGTCTGTGCATAAGTAACATCAGGAAGTAAGACTAGTGAGAGGAGATGGGCACCTGATGAAAGATTCTGAATACTAGGACTGAAGATTTCAACTTCAACCTACTGACAATGATGAGTCACTGAGGTTCATCAGCTGCAAAGTGTCATCATGAAAGCAGGGTTTGAGGAAGATTCTTGAGATCACATGTACAGAAATAGACTAGAACAAGGAAAAATCAGAAAGAACAAGGTCATGAGGGCCTAGTGTCCAGAATGAGGGAGAGGAAGGGATGTGAAAGTCTTCTAAAGGACAAACTAAAAAGATGGCAACTGATTAGAAATCAGTGCCAAGGAAAAATAGGATGGTGAGATATCCTGCCTAGTAACAGAGGCAATGTCCCAGAACAGAACACCTGGGTGGTGAAACGGTTAAGTGCTCAGCTGATAACCGAAAGGTTGGCCGTCTGAAACCACCTAGAGGTATCTCAGAAGAAAGGCCTGGCAATCTGCTTCCAGAAGGTCATGGCCTTGCAAGCCTGGAGCACAGTTCTACTCTGCACACATGGCTTCACCAGGAGTCACAACTGACTCAACAGCCATAGGTTTTGGTACCAAAATAAGTGTCTTCTTTCAGAGGCACTAGGGCTGGTTACAGCCATACGGACTTTTAAAAATTCTGTAAGATACTCCCACTACTGATAGACATTTCAAAAGATACAATAAAAACCACTCTAGCAAACCCTCTAGTCCTGGGCTACCCAGTCCCACTAGACAGCTGATGGAGAATAGCAGCTACACCTTCATTCATTCTTTTATTTAACAAGTATTAGTTAAAACCAAATCCCTTTCGGCTGGAACCGTCACCTTGCAGTAATTCACCAAAATGACAAACACAAAGAGAAAGAGGAGAGGCACCAACTTTATGTTCTGCTGGCCTTTCAGAAAACATGACTGTATTCCTTTGGCCACATACATGTGAATCTACAAGAAAGGAGATACTGTAAACATCAAGGGAATGGGCACTGCTCAAAAAGGAATGTCCCATAAATGTTACCATGGAACAACTGGGAGAGTATACCCAGCATGCTTTTGGCATTGTTGTGAACAGATATGATAAGGGCAAGATTTTTGCCAAGAAAAGTAATATATGGAGCATATTAAATACTCTAAGAGCCAAGAGAACTTCCTCAAATGTATGAAGGAAAATAATCAGAAAAAGAAGGAATCCAAAGAGAAAGGTACCTGGGTTCAAATGAAGCAACCAGCCTGCTCCACCCGGAGCAGCACACTTTGTGAGAACCAATGGAAAGGAGCCTGAGCTGCTGGAACTCATTCCCTATGAATCCACGGCACCACATGTGCCATCAACCGATAAATAAAAGACTTCTGGGGTGTAACACATACATCTAATCAATGTAATGTCCTAAGGAAGGTGTGGAGGACCCCAAAATGAATCAGACACAATCCCTGCCTTCATTCCCTGTTGAGGAGCTGCTGCGTACAAATGGGAGGCCACACTCCTCACAGAGACATCGTTCCTAACTGCCGTGTGTGGCACGTAACTCCCTCAACAGCTCAATCTAGCATGTGGTTCGTAGTCTACTCTACATTTCCTTTAAAAAAAAAAAAAAAAAGTGAGTGGTTGGGGCAGGGGTCCTGTCTATCACTGTCCTCCTAATTCCTTATATGATGGCTGGCCTCTTTATTTGGCTATAGGATGAATAAGTGAGAGAAGGTCAGTTCTGTCCTCTATAATTTCCTGAAAGCTAACAGATACAGGAAAAAAGATGAACTACATGGGTTTAATAAAACAACTCGAAGCTATATAGCCTGAAAGATCTTTGCTTGTTCCGGATATTAGAAGGAGGTTCCACTCCACTGATTTTCCAGGTAACTAATGTTCAAAGGGGGAGCTCTGGTAGCATAGTGGCTAAGACACTTGCCTGCTAACCAGACGGCTGGTGGTTCAAACCCACCAGCCACTCCTCGGAAGGAAGGTTGGGCAATCCTACTTCCGTAGTGATACTGCCTTGGAAACCCAAGGAGGGGTCACTATGAGTCGGGTTTGACTCGATGGCACATAACAACAACAACAATGTTCAAAGGGGACATATGCTGAAGACAGATATAAAGCAAAAAGGTTGAACTAGAATCCTGGCTACATGACAACAGCAAGTGAATCAAATGCTAATTGACCTCACCAAAGCAAGTTAATGAGGCAGATGGAAAAAAAACCAGAAATATTATAATGGCTCAAAAAGGAGCATTAGTTGTGCTGTGCTAACAGGTCAGATAACGCAATGTCTAGGTGCAATGGTTAAATGCTTGGTTGTTAACTGAAAGGGTGGTGGTTCAAATCCACCCAGTGGCTCCACAGGAAAAAGACCTGGCAATCTGATTACAATTTAGAAAATAGTATAGGGCAGTTCTGGCTCTGCCACATTGGTCACTATGATTTAAAACAGGCTCTACAGCACCTAACAACAAGTAATTTTTATTTCTCTCAAGTGTAAGAACTTCCCTTTCTTCCTCCTGACCCCAGAGGGTGCAAAGAGAGGGACTGGGAGATGGTGATGTGTCAAGGACAGAGAGCTGTAGAACACTCCCATGCAAAGGATGGCAGGGAGACCTTGAGCAGGCTCTGGGAATAGTGTGAGCGTCCAGAGACCTGGAGCTTCTCTGTGCAAGAGTGAAGAAGCCTTAGGATGGGACAGGAGTGAAACTTCTCCCACAGCCAAAGGCACATGGTAGGAGGATGAGGTCAGTGTGTTCTTCTTTCTAGGTCCCACACTGCCTTATGACATCCCAATCCTGCCCATGCTTTGTGATCACAGTGATTACCAAGGAAAGGGAGCAAATGCAGTCCCTACCCGAGCAGGAAGCTCTGAGGCTGGACAAGGGTGCAGATGCTACTCACATGCTGTCGATGATCCTGAGGAAGACGCTGCAGTCCTGGAGCTGCAGCACAGTCTCCACAGGGTCTGCCATGCGCAAACTGTTCACCTGCGAGACAGAGAGCCTGGTGAAATAATTACCGTATTATAAATGCCAGGAGCAGTGTGGTTTACTCCTTTTCCCAGATGTTGACAATTCCCTGCTCATTGTGAATGCCTACAGTTGTAGGCTACAGGAATGAAAAAACATGTGGTTCCAGGATTTTCCGTTTCAGTGAAGGAATGCTTCTGGCACCCCATCCATCCAGTTAATGCTCTCCAATGACAACCCCCTGAAATGCTACCAGCAGAGTCAACCCTTTGGCTGAAACGAAATAAGATGTTCCAGAACTTGGGGTATACTTTAAATATAACGAGGTTCCCTAAGGGTACCTTTAGGAGCCCTGGTGACACAGTGGTTAAATGCTCAGGTGTTAACTAGAAGTCAGCAGTTTGAACCCACCAGTTGCTCCACAGAAGAGAGATGTGGCAGTCTGCTCCCATAAAGATTGCTGCTGTCGTTGTTATATGCCATCAAGTCAGATCTGACTCACAGCGACCCCTCCTTGGGTTTCCGAGGCAGTATCACTACAGAAGTAGATTGCCCAACCTTCCTTCCGAGAGGAGTTGACTGCTGGGTTTGAACTGCCAGCCTTCTGGTTAGCAGTCAAGTGCCTTAGGCACTACGCTACTAGAGCTCCTCCCATAAAGATTGTTGTTGTTGTTGTTGTTATGTGCCCTCGAGTTGGCCCCGACTCATAGCGACCCCTCCTTGGGTTTCCGAGGCAGTATCACTACGGAAGTAGGATTGCCCAACCTTCCTTCCGAGGAGTGGCTGGTGGGTTTGAACCGCTAGCCGTCTGATTAGCAGGCAAGTGTCTTAGCCACTATGCTACCAGAGCTCCCCCCATAGAGATTACAGCCTTGGAAACCTTATTGGGCAGTTCCACGCTGTCTAGGATCACTAGGAGTCTGAATCAATTTCACAGCAATAGGTAAGGATATATAAGAAACTAGTACAATTGGTTCCCCCTAGAGAGAGGAACTCTATAACTAAGAGTCTGCAGGTGAGAAAAAAAAAAGGCTTTTTACATTCTAACCCTTTGTATCTCCTGAATTTTTCTATTATAGCTCTATTATTGCTTGAATTTTTTGTAACCCTGTTAATTTCTTGAATTTTTATATTTTAGCACTGTGTCTCTTGAATTTTTACACTGTAATTCTTGTACTGCTTAAATTTTGAAATACGTATTCAAAAATTAAATATTACATTTATTTTGCACACACACACAATTTTATTATTGATGTATTTTTTTATTCTTTCCAGACATAAAACCTTAGCTGAGGAGAGGTGCATCCTGGAGGAATAACATAATTAAAGAAAAAGAGAGGAAGGAAAGAAAAGCTGGCAACTCCAGACAAAAAATGTAACAATTTTAATTCACTGCCCTGCTCCTTTTCTTTGGCTCCAGGCAGGCACCCATCTAAATCAGTCTACACCACAAGAAATTTGCCAGGGGCCACATGCAAATGATTCAGGTACATAGGCTATTCCACAGCCACATATGGTTGACTTCTACAGGAAAGCCTCATAAATTCCAAAGGCACTAAGTTCTGAAGTAGCTTGGGCTGAAGTTTACCTTTGTATTACCAAAGGAAGGGTTTGTGAAGTTAATTAATCACATATGCAAGACTAAGGGGGGAAGGGAAGACTTAGCCTCTTTAAGAAAGGTTTTTTTCTTTTTTGGAGAACTTCTGCATGACTATGTGAAAACAAGTCATAAAAATCAAAGAACCAAACTCACTGCCATGGAGTGGAGTCGGGTCCGACTCATAGCGCCCCTCCTTGGGTTTCCGAGGCAGCATCACTATGGAAGTAGATTGCCCAACCTTCCTTCTGAGGAGTGGCTGGTAGATTTGAACCACCAACTGTCTGGTTAGCAGTCAAATGCCTTAGGCACTACGCCACCAGAGCTCCTAGATAGCTTATAAATGTGTTTGTTCTTCAAAAAGCACTAGGCAGGGAGTCCTCAGATGTGAATTTTTGCCCCAATGCGCCACTAACTTGCTAGACCTTTGTTATCAAGTCTCTCTCTCTCTGTGCATGTGCCTACTTTTCCACAAGTCCAATGATTGGAATAGCGTGGACTCAGATGGGATTATAGGTGCAAAAACACATGAAAAAAAAAAGCATAAAGTACCAAAAGCACGGTAGAAGTTCCTGGGTGGCACAAACGGCCAAGTGCTGACTACTAGCTAATTGGTTTGTTCAAACCCACCTAGAGGCACCTTGGAAGAAAGGCCTGGTGACCTGCTCTGGAAAGGTCACAGCCTTGAAAACCCCAGAATGCACTTGGACTCTGCAACACGTGGAATCACCCTGAATCAGGACTGCCTCCACAGCAACTAACACCAGCAACAACAAAAGCAAGGTACTATTATCGAAAAGTTAACAGTTCAAACCCGCCAGCTGCTCCAAGGGAGGAAAGATCTGTTGATCCGCTCCAGTAAAGATTTCAGCCTAGGAAACACTATGGGGAGCAGTTCTACTCTGTCACATGGGGTCGTTGTGACTCAGAATCAACTTGACAGAATACAACAATAATTATGGTTAATAAAATAAAAAAATAGACCCAGCAAACCTACTATTTGGCAGTTAAAGTCGCATGGAAAATGGAGAGAATTAAAAAAAAAAAATCAATAAAACAAATGATAGTATTTATTTCCATTAAATATTAAAAACTTCTACATGTATCTAAATTAAAATTAAAAAAAAAAAAAAAAGATTCAATGTGGAATATAAAGTATGACCTCTTATTGAATTTATAAAGGCAATGTATTCATACCATCTTTTGAAAAAAGCTCAGTCTAACTGGTAAGGAGAAGCCAGTGTTAAGTTTTCTAGGAAGAATATGAATGAATAACACTGCAGAGGCCAAGATCCCTTTTTTACCTGCTAACAATGAAGAGACTGCCAAGACTGAAGTATCCAAAAACTCTCTCTCTGTAATATGTACAATCTAGGAAAAACATTCAAGGGTTATGAATGCTTGTTTACTAACAACCTTCACAGCTGGCTGATTTAGTCATTTGAAGAATCCAGATTCATGTCTAACACCAATAAAGTGACAATACAGCAACAATTTCTTTCATTATATAAAAACATATTTTCTTACTATGAATTATTTTGTTCTCACTTGGGAAACTGAAAGTTGAGGAACTGGAGAAGCTCTTTCATCCCTGTTGTTGGTAGTTGCTGGGGAGCTGAATTCTGACTCGAGGCAACCCCATGTGTGCAGTCAACATACAGAGTGCATGAGTGAGGACTGAGCTCACTGCATAGACCAGAAGCTGCCTGTACTGCTCATGCAGTTGCTTAAGGTGTCATCGAATCTTAAAATTCCCTGTAATAATTTCTTTATCATGACTTCTGGCTACAGAATTATTTTGAGCTACAGTGAGTGAAAAAAAAAATTCAAATTTATTTTTACATTATAAAACCAGTAAATTACTGAAAATTCAGAAGACAAAAAAAAAAAACCCTGATTCTACTATTTTAATACATATGCTTTTAGCATTTTGTTGTTTCTTTCTAATTTACTTTTTTTAACCTATGTGGCTTTTTAAAAACCACAGTTGTAGTTACTGTGTGCATGTTTCCTATGCCACACTCTTCTAACCTAACAGAAGCATTTCTTGCTGCTACAGTTTTACAAAATGATTTTTGTTTAAATTTTAAAAATTCTACATAACTATAGTTTAAGATTTTAAGGCATGTGCATTGTTAAGTACTGATTAAAGTACCATAGTATTTGCAGTTAAAAAAACTAACCAGCCTTAGTCAAGGAAAAGTTTATATACAGAATGAAACTTTGTTGGTTACCAGGGGTGGGAAGGTAGGGGAGGCAACACTACTAGATAGGTAGAGACAAGTATTTATTTGGGTGAAGGGAGGGGCAATGTACCAATTGTGAGTGATCAACACAGTGGCACCGAGGAAGAGGAAGACATAGAGTACATGGGAGGTACAGATAACAAAGATGAACCCTTCTGCACATACAGTACTATGTTGTCAGTGACGGAAAATATGGATATATGGGTAGACAGATGGGTGGACAGGCTGAATGATTAGGTATGTATATGCCAGGGAGAGAGTGCCCATGACCACGTATAGGGTTGACAGATGTTTCTACAAGTGTATTTGTATGTTCTGTAAGAATATCCAAGTATATAGTAGAGCTGACAAGGGACAAGGTTGTGGTGACTTCTTGGCCATAGCCAGCTGCCCGAGGGAGTGAGTAGGTGGACCTGTGGGCTCAGGACCATGGTCACAGGGGGACATCAAGCTCAACTGGCATAACATACTACACAAAAACATTGTTCCACGTCCTACTTTGATGAGTAGGGACAGGGATCTTAAAAGCTTGCAAGCAGCCATCTAGATATAACCATGGGTCCTCCTCATCCAGAGCAAAAAAGAAGGAAGAAAACTAAAAACACATGGAAACAATTAGTCCAAGGGACTGGCAGACCATGTGATCCTCAACTATATGACCATGAGACCAGAAGAAATAGATGGTGCCTGGCTATAACTGTCAACCACTCAGAGGGGGATCTGTGTAGGAGATCCTGGATAGAGTAGGAGAACAATATGGAACAAAACACAAAATCATTGGGGAAAAGAAAAAATAAGGGGCCAGGTTTTGCTGATCTGATAAGAGCCTGATGAAGCCCCTGAGACTACAGCACCTAGCTATACCCTTCAGATCTGGAACTGAACCCACTCCTGTGGCTTCCAGCCAAGCAAAAGATAGGCATATGAGCTGAACATTTACATTAGGTAGATACACTCCTTGGAGAAATCAATCATGAGAGAATAGAAGGGCTGTGTATGCACAGAGAGACAGCTCTGGGGGCAGGAGTGCTTGGGAGGGAAGGATACAGGGAAGAGGTAGGTAGCTATGTGGGAGAAGTGGGAAGAGAGCTGTTACACTGTGGAAAATTGCAATATCATGAAACAAAATGTGTATTAACTACTGCATGGAAGATGAATTTCTCTGTAAACTTTCACCCAAATCACAATAAAAAATTAAAAAAAAAAACAACTAGCCTTCCATCTGTTCTTCACTGTAATGGTAATAACCAAAACAACCCACTGCCATCAAGTCGACTCTGACTCATAGCAACCCCTATGGGTTTTCAAGGCTATAAATCTTTACAGAAGTAGATTGTCTCATCTTCCTTCTGTAGAGCAGCTGGTGGGTTTGAACTGTAGACCTTCTGATTAGCAGCCAAATGCCTTATCCACTGTATCACCAGAGCTCCTCGTAATGGTAACAGTCCTCATAAAGACAAGCCTAACCTAAATAAAGGAGCTCTGGTAGCATAGTGGCTAAAGCACTTGACTGCTAACC